TCCGCGGGGCAAACCTAGGGCTACGCACGTACTTGTAGTAAAGTATCATAACACTAAGGCAGCCTGAACCCTGACGCAGCCCTGCTCAAGCTCCAAATGTTCCCTGTTGATGTTCAGCTATGCGGTGGTGAAAACTGCAGAAAAAGACTCCGCCATACCGAGGAACGAGTTCGACGCTCTGGAACCTTGTGCAAACACTTGGCCTCCGCTGATTGCTGCCGCCTTGTCAGGCCGCTTTGATATGCATATACTTGGCATGATCGTCACTTCGTGTTACATGCAGACAGGTTCTGCACTAGGACGGACAGCTTGATATGAGCTACGGAGAACAGTTTCCTGATTATTCGTCGTCCTGTCGGTGCTCGTGTTTTCACCACCTCGTTGTATCTGCTTAACCTCAATCCTGAACAGCTCATTCCTGAGCCAACTGACATTTGGAGCCAGGAGCAAGAACTGTGCTCCTGCGCTTCCCTCGGCCCCGGAGCCATGCACATAATCAAACTTTACCAAGACGAGTTGCCACCTGGTGTCATGCTTCAGTTTCTTTAGCGCCGAACGGTCCAACCGATCCACAGCCTCAAAGTGCGAGGAACACACGAGGCCACTTACAAGAACAGTGGCCACGCACTATGCACCTCCAATGCTGGAAAGATGGCACAGAGTGGTCAAACTCGCGCAAACTAGGCCTCGAGGGACTAGGCCGCAGCATCGCCCCGAAACTCCGGGTACAGTCGATTAGTGCGACTAGTGTCCCTCGTGCTAATTGGCCAAGGCAAGCTTGCCTTAGACGCCTGTTATGTAAACCGCCAACTTCTCGATTCGGATGGGTTGAAACCGGAGTTATGTATTCAAAGTTGGACGTCATCGCATTTTTAGCTGGATTTCACGCATCAATGCCCGTTCCATTCGAAGCTTCAACCTTGGATTCGATGGCCAAAAATACCTCTGTTTCTGCGAGGTGCAGCTCCGAGCTTGAAGTTTGGGTGAGGGTTATTCTCATAGGAGTTTGATTGTTGGTGCAGTCCCGGTTGAAGATTCGATTAGGGTTACACAGAACTTTATTGTTAGGGATCTTGGGGATGGCGGGAAACGGTTTAGGGCTGTGCAGGGTTCAGACTTGTTTTGCTTTGATGGGAGCTTAGAGCCAGCACCCCTCTCAGAGACGCTACAGTCTTAGGGTTGTGAGCTTACTATAGGGGCCTAAATAATTACTAACCAATCCTTTTTTTTTTTTTTTTGGAGGGAGGGGGG